CCCCCCCCCCCCCCCCCCCCTTATGTCTCCTTGTGTCTCCTTCGCAGACGCAGACGCTAAACGATTGTGGTGTAGCTTGCTCTTCGCCGGACTGCTCATGAACTATGACAGAGTCCCGAACGGCCTCAAATGGATGCTCACCACCTCCTTCTTCCACGCCGCCTACGAAGCCCTCCTCGTCAACGAACTGCGATACCTCCAGCTCATCGAACACAAGTTTGGGCTGGATATCCAAGTGCCCAGTGCTACCAGTATGTCCCCTTTCCCCTTTCTCCTACAAGTATCTGTTTCGGGAGCGCGTGCTGATGAAGGATGTTACGTTAGTCCTCTCGTCATTCGGGTTCCATGCGCAAGCGTTCTGGTGGCCTGATGCGGCGCTTTTGGGGATCGTGTTTGGCACGTTTACGATCTTGAGTTATCTCGTGCTCGAGTTTTGGGTCAAGGAGAGGCGTTGAAAAAATCGGACAATCGGACCATCTCCCAACCAAAGTTATCGTTCTAGTTTCAGCATAAAAGTCTCGTTTGCATTTTGAATGTATCGTCTTGTATATGATGCCAAACTTATCACCCATGGGACGCTCATTCACGATATTTGAAGGATAATTGCTCACCATCATGATTGCTGCATCTTCTTTACCACTGACAGATGTACGTCCACTACCTGACGCCGACATATGGGCAGTCTACTCGTCGTCTCCCAGCCCTACCACTTCCCAATCTTTAATCACATCATCTTCTCCGTCTTCTCTGGCTTCCCTTTCATCTTCTTTGTCTTCTCTGGCTTCCCTTTATTCCCGAGCTTTATCCTCAGTCTCATTCCGCTGTCGCTGTAGTATCTTCGCGAGGGACGTTGAAGAGTTCTCCGTTTCCGGACCAACCCTCCCCTTGGATAGATCCCACCATCAACACTTCATCCACGTCCACTGGCGCAATCATATTAGGCATAAACGTCAACTGAGACATATCGCCCACGGGCTCTCCCTGCTCTTCCATTTTCCTGATCTCTGTCTCCAGTGCTATGGTCACTGCGTGGCGGAGATCTTCGGACATGGAATCCCTGGAGTTGTCCAGTATTTCTCGGTCATCCTCTTTAAACATAGTATTTGCGTCTAGCTTGGAGAAGAAAGTCTCGACGATACGAGAGACGTGGGTGGGAACGCTGGAACGCTCAGTAGCGTAGTCTGATGACATTGTGTGTGAGAATGTGGTAAAGAGTTGGGGATGAAGTCTTTCAGTGAAAGCTCTACACCATCTCTTATACGGACGCGTACAAAGGATCCAGAAGCTTGGGAAGTCTGGCGCAGTCTGAATAATCACCGCCTCACGATGTGAAGGAAACGAGTCGATAGTCCACCTTGCTTTGATAAACTTGGGCCAGAAGGACCAGGAATAGGCGTTTTTTTTCGTTTACTCTATAGTGCATGTGAAAGGTTGACTATTATTCCCGGCGGTTGGGCTTGCTTTTGTTTGCTATATAGTAAGAGCTATCGAGCCGTGTCCTGATTGAAGCTGGATAATTGATGGTGGTCAAAATACCCTCAAAGTATAGAGTATTGATCTTGCCATTTGTATTAGCAGTCATCTAAGGACGTGGCTCTAAACGTCTCCAGATGTGCTGTAAAGATCCTTCAGTACTTCTGGCTAAAAATAATGCTGTCGCGGTGTCTGTGGCATTACTTTGTGTACAATTAGATTATGTGCTAGATTATAAACAACATCTCCGAATACCAGTACGCCCATGGGGTTCTACACCAAGGGATGTCGCTGATGTCATGGAGTCAATGGTATAGCTTGTTATTCGCCGGACTACTCATATGGTCTATATACCAAGAGCGCAGAACGCATCATAACAATGTATGTTCATCTACCCGTCCCCAGCAATCTGCAGAGTTCATAAACGTAACTATCTAGTTCTGGCTGTACTCGAGTACCGGAACGGGCTCGAGCACTCGTGTCGTACGAACTGTCTTTGAACACGAGTGGACGATATGATGCACATACATGGCATGCTCTAGCATGATTATCCTCTACAGTTGATTACTGAAGTCCCCCCTTTCTCTACGTAGTCTTCGTCTCTGCCTATATCCATATCAGCTATCGTCATCTCGCCTCCCTCGACACTCTAGAGTACTCACCATCCCTCAAACCAGCCTCCAACCCCTCATCCTCCCAATCCTCCTCAAAATCTCCTCCGCCTTGCCCGCCTCCCTCCTCTCTTTCTCCTTCTCCTTCTCCTTCTCCTTCCCATCCCTCACCTCCTTCATTGCACCTCTCCACCCCGCTTCGTCCAACCCTACACCCTTCTCCCATATGCCCAGCTCTTCCCACTCCACATCGAGGGCGCGGACCGCATTCTCCAGATAACCCAGATCTTCCTTCAGTTGCGCTTGTCCCGGTGTTGATAGAGTAGATATGCCGGGCAAGATGGTGGACGTGAAGTGGGATAGGAGGGAAAGGGAGAGTGAAGAAAGCCATGTCGTCTGAATGATCTCAAGTGTGGGCGCTTCTCCCAAACCAGAAGGATGCGAGCCCGGCGGAGTAAAAGGCAACGTCCCCAAACTCCATCCCACCCCTTCTTCCTTCCCATACACCTCAAACACCCTAAGCAGATCCAACAAGCCCTCCGACACTCTCGAGATGACACCCGTCGGCGAAAGACTGAATTCTGGAAGGTCGAACCCAGACTTGGATTTCGCGGGCTCTTTTTGCCAGACGGAGAGGGTAGGATAGGTTGATAGTTGGGAGAGGAGAGGTGATAGGATGGTGCTTTGGAGATTTTCTTGACAGGACTGGATGGTCGTGATGAGAGATGCCCGACTTTGTGGGAACAGCGGCGAGGTAGGGGAAGAGACCAGTGTATGAAGCTCGGCCGTGTTTAGCGTCGATTGCTGCAACAGCGATACCGCACCCCAAGTCACCTTCTCCGCTCCCCATGATTCCCTTTTCGCCCCCAGATTGCTCCCATACTCGCTGATTGTCCTCCCCAACTCTTCCTCAACATGTGCCAGCTTTTCCGCCAGCCTCTTACAGGCTTCCAGCACATGCAAACCCGTCTGGAAGCTCGCCCAGTCTTCGAGACCCCCTTCAAAATCGAGCTCGTCGCCCTTGTCTTTGCTGTGGGCTGCGGCTTGAGATTTGGCGAGGTCGAGGAGATAACGTCGTTGGTCGTCGTACACCTTTTTCAGCGACATGTCGACAGCTTCGACAAGCCCCCTGGCACCATAACCGAGGGTGAACGCAGAGCATCGCTCGCCTGCTTCCCTCGCCTTCTCCCATACACCCTCACCGCGCTTGACCATCTCCCCAACTACACTCTTCCCATCCCTCCGTCCTTCCCTCGCCCAAACACTCGCCATCGTCTCAAGCTCTACCGACAAGTACCTCGCTTCCAAGCTCGGATACGACGACTGCCAGTCCAAGAACGGCTCGTAGAGCGTCGTCTCCCACGCATCGTCCACTGTCCCCGGGGAGGAAGTGTCGAACGAAGCAGTCGGCGCACGGGAGAACCGGCGAGAGATGGAGTGATGTCGTTTCGTATGAGAGTTGGTACGCGTCATGCCGATAGCGTGTGAAGGTGAACGTCGATGATTATTGGGAGAGACAAGCGCATTGGGCGACGTGGTAGCCAGCGGACTGGGCGAGTCTGTTTCAAGACCTCCGCTGAGAAGCCCGCCTTGGGTATTGAAAACGATCTTGTCCACCAGCCCTTGTACTCCCTTTCCGAGCTCCACGGTCGCCTCCCAGCTTTTGACCAGCTCTCCCAGAGCCGCATCGCCATGATGGTCGGCCACAGACGAGAGCCTATTCGAGAAAGGTGGATGCAAGGCGTCGAGGGTGGATTGGAAAAAGGCGGTGAGGGTGGAGGGCGCTTGGTCGAGAGGAAAGACGAGGGGAATGGAGGATAGTTCGGAGGTGAGGGTTTGTAGCAGGAGGGAGTAGAATTGGGGCAGGAAGGTGGTGAATCGAGAGGCTTCGACAGCGCCTTCTTCGAGGACAGCACCTTTCCACAAATCCAACACTCCACGACCCTTCTCGTTAAAGTACCACTTCCTGAACTCGTCGTCTCTGTCCATGTCCTCAAACACCTCCCAGAAGCCCCGTACTTGCTCGAGCCCTTCATCGCCCTTCCGTAGAGCCTCGCGGAGAGCTTCCCCAGCAGCACGCTCAAGCTCATCTCCAAGGGATACCAACAGCCGTTTGCGTTCCTCCCACTCGGCCGGCACATTCTTAAAGACGACCATCGACCGATTGGCCTCTGCCAGCCTCTGACCCGCCTTGGCATACTCCTTCTCGCCAATGAGGGTGGTGATTTCAGACTCAAGAGTCGACCAAGATTCAGCCTCTCGGAGGGTATCTCGGGCGGATTCGAGCCGACCCTTGAGCTTGTCGAGGTGTGTCAATTTCTCGAGGGCGCGATACGTCTTGACCGCCTCGCTTTCGTCCTCCTTCTTGCCCTTCTTCTCCACAGGCTCCCAGTCCGCTTGCCTTGCTACACGCTCTTGCACCATACCAAGGCCAACAGCGAGGCCACTAGCGCTTTCCCGCATGAACTGGAGGTCGTAGCCCAGCCTCGGCACAGTCCTGCCCACATCGCCCATGACAGTCTCGATTTCTCCCGCCGTATCCTGGCTGAGCATAGACAGTCTTGTCAGGAGGTCTTGCAGCGACTGGTCGACAGGAGGAAGAGCTGGCGGGGCGGGTCGCTGGGATGAGGGGAGCGGGGGAGGCAGGAGGGGCGCAAAGAGGTCATTGAGGAATGAGGTGGGGGAGACGGACGCATCGAGCCTGGTAGCCAAAGACTCAAGGGATGACGTCGACGTAGCGTTCGGCTGAGATGACTCTCCATGTGGGGTTGGCGACGACATGTCGAGCTGCAAAAGTCAGCATCGTCCCCGATGGCTGCCTGAGCACGACTTACGACTTACTGCGCTTCTCTGCGGGCTGCCTGTACACTGATATTCGTTGGCCTGACTGGCTCTGCCAAATGTTTTGGATAGGGGGTGGAGGGGACCGTGGGATGCTACCTAATCGTGAGATTGCAGGAAATATATACTTTCTTTAAACCATCTCAAATGTCACGAGATGATACAGCGCGCGCGGTGGACATCCACCCCATCTCCGGGAACGAAATTGCTTCCGTTTGTTTGTACCGACCGACCCAAGACCGACCTGCGACCGACGCAGAGTTGAGGCGGTAACGAAGGCCACATCCCTTCATAAATCGCCAAGGTTCCACACCATAGAGAGTGAATATTCCACCCGGCCTAAAAAGGGTGGATAGAAAACAGGAAGAACCCCCGAAAAGGAGGCGCGCATCCGGACTTCGAACGTCATGATGCATTTCAAACTCCTGTCATCGTCTCCACCACTACATTATACCACCTTCCACCAATCCAAACACATTCCTACATCCCAGTAATATCATAGCCCATCATGTCGGAACAATCCTTAAAGTGGACAGTCCAAAGCCGGCCCACCAGAAACCCCGAGTACATCTACTTTGGCACCATCTTCACCGCCGCCGAAACTGGCTCTCGACAAAGTGCGTTCGGTATCTACACCCCCATAGACGTCGAGGACAAAGACACATGGCTCGAAGTTAGTAGGTCAAGGGGTGGGAGACAGAATGGCAGGGAGATTAGTATCGAAGAAAGCGTAAGAATGACGTTGGGTCTTGGGACGGAGGATGGAGACGATGCGCCTGTTGACGAGGCGGAGGAAGAAAAGAGGACGACGCTCGAGGCTAAGAAAGACAGTCTCGTCTCGAGGATTGGTGCTTCGCTTGACAATTCGCTGTACGACATTGCCAAGGATGTTGTCACCAGACACCAAGAGCAGCAGGAACAGCAGGGGAATGAATAGGATAGGCGGGTACATCATGTATAAAGTTGACGCATGGGTAGATCTGGCTGCTGGATATTCCCGAGTGTCCGATAGTGTATTGAAAATCATGAACATGTCACTCTGTCTCGCGTCGTCCACGGCGATGTCAAAGCTCGTCACATTCGCCAGCGCACTGACGGTAGCTTGTGCCTCATAGACTTTGAGGGTTCGAGTTTTGTACGACCAGGGGAAGGAGGTGATGCCGAGCTGGCGGAGGAGATGGACTTGATAAAGCTTATGCTCAAGTTTCGCATGTCAAGTGAGTAGGGGATGTTTCGAGGAGGGATTGTATACCTGGACAATTACTGTATGCACTGTACAGTATTACAGTTGAGAGAGGTCGAGAGGGTGCTCGAGTGATGTATTCATTCAAATCGCTTCCGATGCGAAGCCAGCGCTCGAAGAAGGGTGACTATCTCCTTCATCTTACCAGGTGATAAGTGCTGAAGACTGTACAAGGGTTATGTAATGCATACACCCTACCAGGTGACAGGTGCTAAAGACTGTACAACATGATCGAATAAGGGGGGCGCGGTGGAGGAGGGGGAGGAAGTTGGCGGCGACCTGGTTGTTGTTCAAATGCTCTCTAACAAACGCGTCAGTCTCGTGATAGGTCAAGTTCAGCCGTCTACTCACTCAAGCCTTTGACGAGGAGCGCTACGGCCTACATGAGGTTGATGGCCAGCCACACCAAAGACCACCGGCGGGCCCAGAAACAGGGGAGCGCGTCAGCCTGGAAAAAAAGGCCACTCGGTCAACAGCCAAATCGGTTTGACCGCTGGGATGACGCTAGCCACCACGCCGGTGACGGTCAGCTCCAGAACTACCCCGTGCGGCCAGCCGCTTTTCAAAAACGCACGCCATTAGCCTTATCACGGGAAAGGGGTGGAGAAGGTGTTACCCAACGAAACAGACCGCAATGCCCAGACTCAACCCGAAGAGGGGAAAGAGGACTAATGGGTGTGTCAGGTCTCGGAAATGGTGCAGAATGTACACCCAGAAAACGTACCCATAGGCCAGACAGAAAAGGCCCGGTGGTCGTCAGCCCTGTTACTGACCTTGTTCTTGGCTTCAGTGTGTAGGTCGGGAGACAAGTGGTGGAGGGCAACCTTCCTATATTCGCTTCCTATATTCGTTGGTGATCCATACATCGTACGATCTTTGGTCCTGCTCGGCTATCTTTGCCAGCAGATCCCGCATCGCTCCACCCAACCTGCCAGGCACGAGGAAGCGCGAGGCGGGGCGGGGGGGTAGGCGACGGGTTGGTGGGGGTAGGCGACGGGCTGAGGTGGGGTGTCGACCGGCTGATGGGTGGATCCGACGAGCTGGGCCGGGGCGAGTCTTCGAGGGGGGTGGGCGATTGGTGGCTCAAGGGCCGGGGCGAGTCTTTGGGGGAGGGGCGCTTGTTGAGGGGCGGGGGGGGACGGCATTGTTAGTGGTTGGTGGGTGTATTAATTCGGGTGTGAGAACAAGTGTGGAAGAGAGAAGGACGTTGAAGCGTTGTTTGGGACGAACGGGCGGGGCCGCCCTTGATGCAGATCAACATCGGCACACTCCGCTTTACCTCCATCGACCACATACAAGTATCATTACCTCCATACCCGTGGCTGGAATGCATGGTCATGATATACATACCATCGAATGCTCTATAGCGGGTGCCACAGGCAGAGTGCGCCGTGTTGACACTGCCTTCATGACGCGTGCATCTATCATTCAACATGGGCGTTGACACACTTACGTAACATTAACCTGCAAGAAATGTCATGTCGCGTCCAAGTCGCGTCTGCAGCCCCAAGCGCTCACCCAGTCCAACGGAAGTTTGCCATATACATATCATACATATCATCTGCTTATTCCATCACCCAAATCTTCATATCAAGATGATCTCTCAGTGGGTCACCCACGCCAAACGTTTCTACGACGAGCTCGGGGACAATGACACCCACCCTCGCTTCATCTCCAATACCGACAACCCGTATAATGTTATCCTGCATTGCGGATCTTTAGACTCCCGCGAGAGCTTCTGCTTCGATGTGCTCTGTAAAAAATGGGCTTCCCAGAACTATATTATCCGCCAGTACTATATTGTCCGGTTCAAGGGACCTGACGGGGTTGCAGTATGTGCTCTCTATTCCGGTGGAGAAGCACTGACGCGCGTTCACAGATATCCCGCAGAGACTTTTGCAAGGCATGGGCCGTTTCCCGTCGGACAGTCGCTTTTCTAGGCGGCCTCAAATCATCAATACAAGACTTGGGTCTTGAGCAGGAATACACAGAAGATCTAGAGACCATCTCTGAGCTGCTCCGTAAAGTAAGTCTTGTATCCGGTAAAGCAGTATCAGCAGCTTATTCTTCTGCTTTGTAATAGTACGAAGCCTATTGGGGTATGTCTCTCTCCGACTAGTCAAGTCCCTTGTACATCCACTGAAACCAATGGTAGACGAACTCAACTTTGTCATGAAGCATATCAGTTCCTGGGAACGGATCGGTTATCTGCCCTTTGTCCACGACCGTCTCCCACCCAACTACGAATCCCTCATAACCAACCCCGGCAAACCTGGCTCCCGTAAATGGATGCTCAAAGGCACGGACCATTGGTATCCTGTCGACGCTTATTGGACATGTAAATCGCCTTTCAGTGCGCTATACATTCTTTACGTCAAGAAGATACTGGAACTACACGAAGAAGGTTTTGAGGATCGGTGGTTCGCTATGTGGGATATGTGGGGCCCGGATCCGGTTGAGTACAATCTGTATCGCTTCCCGGGGGATTTCCCTACCAGCGAGAGTGAATTGCAGTTGCGGAAGAAGAGTCGAGGTGTGAACTTCGGGGAGCTACCATCGGGATTTGGTGATTTGTGAGTCTGCTAATATCGATCATCGTGTTCTATGCTTATGGAGGTAGATCATGAACTCCAGTCCGGGGTTACAATGAGTGACCACGACACAAGAATAGTAGTATATGACTGCCGATCAGGAGATGTAAGTCTTGTTTGTCGTGTGTATATTGCAGAGTTAATACCTTCTTCACTGTCACTGTCATATAGTCCCACTTTCATCACATTATCCCCCAATTCAGCACTTCCCAAGTCGGCACCGCTCTTCCAGCGCAGCCCTATCTCCGGATCCACCTCCTTATCCTTTGGTTCGATTTGTACCCACCTTTGTCTTTGCCAATCCCAGGACGCATACTCTACCCTCTTGTACTAGCTTCTCTCTGATCGGTACATTTCTTCCGCTTCCTCGAGTCCGAGCATCAGCTAATACATGTATAGCGTCTCTCACCAAGTCTCCCAACTCATCCTCGCACACGACACCCAATCCCATACTGGAACGGCATGATGATCTTTTCTTTCGTAATTCGGGGTAGTGAGCCATTTCTTCCCTTCCATCTCCAACATTCATGCGGAGAAACCAAAGCTTACGGAAATACAGCGAGCCTCTCGTCCAGTCTTCCGCTGTCGCAGCCGACGTCTTCATCTTGATGTCTTTCGTTGCTCGCCTTGTTCAACTAGGATGGAGAAATGGGTGGACCATATGAAGGCGGACAGCGTCTGGTCGACGACATCGGAGGATGAGAAATGGGATGAGAGGAAAGGGCTGGGACGGAGATAAAGACGGTCAAGGAGAGACGATCTGGGCGCGGGGCATGTGGCAAGTCGTATCCCGCATATCATATCGTGCGAGAGTGAGAGGTCAGAGCAAGCGAACGACGGGAGAGAAAAACTGGCGTAATAGATGAGAAGATCGTCAGAATCGATGCAAGACTATCGCTTGTTACAATGCCGTCATACTCGTCTACTGATAGTCAGCTGCATCTCCTGACGCACGACTACATCCTACAAACAACAAGCGAAGGCTTATTCCCTCGAGGCGAAACACTTTATATATATTCACATGAACAGCTTAGACCGGATCGTCTATCTGGACGTTTGAAGCGACCTTGCACAAGCGATGATATCCCTGTTCCCCAAGGCATCCCGCCAGGTCGAAAGTAAGGCTTCAACCATGACACACTTGAGATCTGGTAGCTGTGCCAAAAATGTGACGTCCATCAAGTACGGTCATACAGCGCGGAGTGGGCAAAATGTAGAAAGTACATAGCAAATAGCACTAACAGATGATTCCTTTCCCTTTCCTTGTCCTCTCAAATCTGGCAGGTCGCTGGCAGGGGATGTTTTCCAGCTGCTGCGTGTCTTGCCTTTGGAGATCCCAGTAGATGCAGACATGTACATGAACAACAATTCTCGTAAGATATGTAAGGGAACTTCGTGATACAAGTATATGCGAAGACAGCTATCGTACAGTAATGTGTAAATAGTCTCACTACTCAAACTCTCGGCGTAGCCTTGACGTTGTCGACTATAGCCCTAAACAGACTCTTCTCCGTGAGAACAAATTTGATGTTTCTCTTGAGAAGGATGTCGTGGAAAGCCAGTATATCAGACCCGCCTTCGTCCTCGCTTCTGCAAGGGCTTTCAGACCTTTCCACCGTCTCGGACCTGTCTTCCCGCTCTTCCTGAGCCCTACCCTCGTCCTTCATCATACCAAAGTCTGCACCTTCCCCAATGCCTGCCGTAGCACTTTGACCCTTGCGCTTGAATCCTACTCCACCTGCCATCACTGCAGGCCGCTCCTCGACTTCACCTACCCCCAACGACTTGTCCTCTGATGTGTTGTTGCTGCCTTTGGTTTTGGAAAAAGAGGGAGGCTTGTCAGTAAGGGTGTTGTAGTTCTCGCTGGAAAGCAGGTCATGGGGTGTGAAAGTCGGAATGCAAGATAGCCAATCATAAACGTCTCTTGTAGCTAAACCAGAGGTCAGATCTGATGTATTCTTTGCGTTTCTGTGTGGCAATCACAACGAGCATATGGAAGGACGTACAGTAATGATTGCCGACAATAGGGGTTTTGAGGATTTCTACACACCGCTTTGGTTAGCTCCATGGATGAACAGCTGATCAAAAACTGTCACTTACCCTCTGAAGTCTTGCCGGTTAAAAGCCTTTGAGGTCCCATCTCCGACGCCAGACCCAAACCATTGCCACCCACACGAGCAACGCCACGTTGGTCTGCGCCGTGCTCTTCATCATCGTGCTCCTCATCTGCACCATCTTCGTCATCTACATTGCTCATTTCCTCTTCATGTTCGAAGTCGCTGATGGGAGTGAGGGATGAGGGGGCGCCGCTATGCGAGCCATACTTGCGAGGGGGGCTCTGGGAGCGTGTTCGAGAGGCGGTAGGGTCAGAGTCCAGATTTCCACTTGACACATTACTAGAGGGGGTGGTGACTTCCTCAGGATGTGTTGCTGTTTTTGGTTTCAATCCGTGCGCATGCTCCAAAAAGGCCGCCAATCCCTGGTGTATACCCCCCAACTCAACCAGGGGTGGTGTCAACCTCTCTCGAACACCCTCCCGCGACACCCACGGAGGTTGCCGAACCCGCTGCAACCGTCTGCCGAGGGGTAGATCTTTGATAGCATCCCAAGCAATATTGAAATACCGCCAGATGAAGTCCAAGGCCTCCGTGTCATTGCTAAACTCATGGGGGAAGGTGAACTCGTCGGCCAGGAAGTCCATCATGTCATCAATCCCAAGGGTTGTCAAAGGCGTGTCCTCGGGAACCTCAAACAGAATGGTTTCCTTGTTGATGACCATCATGCAAGCGAACTCCTTCCCCACAGCAAACCCACCGAGATAGCAGCCACATGCGTCATAGCTTGAGATGAGGTACACAGCTTCCTGCAGGAAAGGCTCGGAAGGAAGTTTGTCTCGCCCCTTTACTTCAAACACCAAGGACAGGATCAAATCCAGATACTCGTTGGACTGAAGTTTGAAATCCCGATAGAATTTGGACGTCTTGGAATGGGTAGATTGGTCGGACTGGGATGGAAATGTTTTGGGCTCATTTGTTTTACGGCGTTTTTTGTCGCGTTTCTGGGAAGATACATGTCAATGAAGATCAGTGCAGAAATGGATGAAGATACTCACGGTACTTGGCTCGTGCGCGCGCGAGGCAGCAAACACTAGATCTGGTCTGTTGTGTTCTTGGCTGTCATCGATCCTGTATTCGCTCCTCCATCTCGTATAAGCTTCACAGAACGAGCTCTCACTATACGAGCAAGTGGTGCCCTGCGGGCCCTCGAAGCGTATGCGATCGAGAGGGAAGTTCTGATAGGCACTAAAATCTCCTCCCTTTCTGGTATGCTCGGAGAAGGGCTCCAGGGGCTCCAAAGAACCGATGAATTCCTGAGCCAGATGGTCCCATAGATGCTGCACTGGATTCTCGTACGAATCCTTATCAATGTGCTTGAGCTTATTTTTGATCGTGTGCGGAGCTGGCGCATTCTCGCAGGATGTTGGATAAAGATCCCTGAAGTATTGGGGAACCGTAGCCATGGCGACGCCCGTCAAGCCTCTGATTGATAAGGGGCAAGAGTGTATCGGAGGTCGGAAAGATATGTGGAGCTGAGACGTCTCCCGGGCAGCCAATAAGGAAGACGGCTTGGGCCTGAACGAGGCTGGCAGAGCAGAATCAGTGTGTGATAGGTGAGTGTGGCAACAAGAAGATACCTACAGTATGGCAGGTGTCGCGACGTGTACGAGACGTGTTACGCGCCTGAGGGCTATGGGAAGTGGTCTCTAGGGAGGAAGGGGAGAATGAAGGGCGAAGGGTAGCGAGAACGAGGAGAAGAATGGATGAAAGAAGAGTCAGAGATCACACAGCTGCTTTGCTGGCGGAACGGGACCAAATCGGCGAGTGTACCTCTCCGCTCCATCCTCACATGCCAGCTCGCAGAACCCCTTTTCACCCTTGCATTCGATCATATTCTCAACATGCTCGAGACGGGAATGTTGACCAGCCTTGGGGAGAGAGAGGATTACGCAGAGACTGTGCTGCAGAAGCTCTTTGGGCGGGTGGGTTGGGGTGATCGTGGACGCGGTACATAGCTGTTGATGGCCAAGAGTGATTATCGGGGCGATCTTTCGGAACGGGGGGGGGGGGGATGCTGATTCGGGGTGCGGTCGCAGTATAGTGTAGGCACCTGTATCGCAAACCTGATTGAGCAACCTCCTATTGTTTCGACATGTATCTCGTCTTGGGAGAACAGGGAGGTCATCGCTCGCGCTAGTCGCTCATCAAGTACGTCTTTGGCAGAAACAGGGTCATGCAGCGCGGAGTGGACGAAATGTAAAAAGTACATAGCAAATAGCACTAACAGATATTTCCTTTCCCTTTCCTTGTCCTCTTTCTCTCTCTCCCTTGCACTCCTACACCCACCCCACAGCAACACCGCACAAAACCCTTCACCCTCCTTCGAACGAATCAAGATAGTCTGTCCCCGCTCCTTCCGCTCCCGCTGAGTGACCATACGGTTGGTCTGATGATTGTGGTGGTTGTGGTGGTTGTTGGTGTGAAGGTGGATGATAAGAGTAGAAGAAGGCGAAAGGGAAAAGGGAAAGAAAGAGAATGTATAGGTGATGGTGGAATGAGTTCAGTCGTCGTAAGCCTCTTCCGCGGATCTCCTCGCCAGTCGCTTGACTCTCTTCTTGTAGGCTAATAAGACAAATCGTCAGCACAAACATCCACGTATTTGCAAAGAGAAAGGATGCGTACCAGGATAATCTTCCCGTACTTCCTTGGCGGCATCAACGTTGGCAGGAGAGTTCAAGTCGGGAACGTCAGCGCTCAAGAGGGAGATGACAGAGATGAGCTATCATGCGAGTAAGCTTCCTTCCGGAAAAACCATACGCAATGGATAAGAAGGAAGAGGAACGTACAACAGACTCGACGGTATGCACCGGCAGCCATCTCTCAGACGCATGCTCGTATCCCCATTCATCCTCTCCAGGCGCGTGCTACAACTCGCATCAGCGCCCACTCCGGAGTCTTCTCAGACAGCCTTCTACTCACCAGGATAGACACACACACTTCGCCCTTTTTTTCTCCCGAATTGTACACTGGAGAGGAACGTCAGTCGGGTTTGATATAGTGAGGAGGAAGGGACGGACCATTTGGGTGCCACATTTCCGAGTCAAAGATCATCTTGGGCGGGAGGAGTGGATATTCCTATACACATCATGAGCATCAAATCATGACTCCGGGAGAGTGTGAGACATACAGTAGGGAAGATGAGTCGAGCCTTCAAGATCGCGCCCTCCCAAAGAGTGTCGGCGGGGCTGCAGCGACGTCAGCTCAATATCAATACAGAACCAGATACGGCCTTACGCCATGATCACAATGCCCCACTCGAGGATATTGTCGTCGTCGACAAGGCCGGCGGAGAATCCGTCCACCGGATGCTTTTGCATATCTATTCCGCAAATTGAGTAGTCAGCTCGGGTCCTCATCTTCCGCGCCTCGCCACATCGTACTCCTCCTGATAGCCTTCTTGCCTTTGTACAAGATCCGACATACCGATGAGCTGCTTGCGCAATATAGGATAAGTGCTAGGGGTGCTGCTAGTACCATTGGAAGGGGTGGCGGGTTTGGAGGACCCGGGGCGCGAGGGGGGGTAGGGCGAGGGGGCAGGGCTGCCGTTGGACTTGCTTGCGGGGGGCATCTCGGCGGGGGCTCGCTGGCTAGGGGTCCGAGGGGGGAGGGGTGTCGATCTAAGAGGAGATGGAAACGCGAAGACGATCACGCACCGCGGATGGGCGGGATCAATTGGCGGAGTACGCCGTTCTCCGTCTTTCCGCTAGTGTTGAGTGGCGATGGTGTATGGGCAGTGTATGGGACGACACAATCGCGCAGCACCCCACAAAGCAGCAGACGGCAGTATGACAGGGAGCCATTTGGAGCACAAAAGACCTCTCTTCTATAGGTAGTCTCGATAGCAAACGCCCTACGGCTGTACGAAGACAGGTCAGCGGGACATGATGGACAGACCAGGCCGAGGAGTGAATGACATCTCACAAGACATTAACTGCGATTATTGACCCCAAAGAATGTAGTGTTGTCAGTCAGTCCCACAACCACGTTCCGATCCTTTCGCATCGCGAGGTCGTGGGATAGATGAATGCTACCAAGGTTGAACGATTAAGCGTATGTCTTGCCTATGGTTGATCGTCTCTGCATGGCGGTACGCATCGTGAATACTAAATCAGAAAGAAGAATCATGAACATGCAAAACATCATGATAATACATCCCCATTCCCATCCCCCGTCTCCCAGACCTCTACCCAACTTTACGCCCCTAGAAAGCCCACAACTCCGCCACGACATCCTCCTCCCCTTCACCACCGTCTTCACCCTCCTTCTTCTCACCATCAGGGAAGATGGTGATCTTGGCCCCAGTCTCGAGCGCCACAGAAAGTGCCGGCGGGTGTCGGATTTTACGCTTGATTTCTGTTTCAAACAACTACACCCACCACATCAGCTTCCCCATCTTTCCAAAGAAGCCAAGAGGAACAAGGAGGAAAAACGACTTACAGTACCATACCCATGGTCCAAGAAATCTTCCATATCATACTCGGCCTTTGTAAACACCTCCCCAAACACCTTTGCCAAAGTCGACACGGAAGCGAGATAATGTTTCTGCAGCGTCGACAGTTCCCAGCAACTCGACTCTATCGCCCTCGTCTTCAACGGATTCTTCTCCTCCGCATCATACGGGTCTGCTTCGCTCTTCTCCACCTTCCCTTCCTCTTTCTCGAACTCGGCGGAAGAAGAAAGGTTGAGGATGGGCAGATTGTTGGCGAACCGATCACCAGATTGGCGCTGGAGCATGACCATACACCCCGGATGTCTCTTGAACAGATTATACAAGAAGGGGAGGATGATGATGACGCCGGCTGGGGGGGCGGAGAGTGCGAGACGGGAGAGGCGTTTGATGAAGGAGGCTATCAAGGCTGCGGGGATCAAACTAGTGTTTTTGTCAGCTTGGTTTGGGGAAGGGTAGGAGAGAAGAAGAACGTACGATCCTTTGAGGAAGATGTCGAGGAGACGGAAGAATCGCGCCCTATACTTGACGTGCATCACATCCTTGTCCAGCAGCCCATACAGCCGCTCGTAGAATCTCGGGTACTCGCTAATCCCTCCATCAGCCCTTGCCATATCATATCAAGAAGAAAACTTACAAGTTGTACTCTGTCATCAACACAAACAACCCATTCATCGCCAACATCCCCACCACCCCGCCTTGATCCACCAAGCTGCCCAACCAATCCGCCACCCTCAGTCTCCTCTCCTTCTTCCAGAAACTCAAGATCCCCTGTTCTCCGTGCAGCGCCACCAAAATCTTGCGCGTCCATCCTTCATCCAGCCTCAGATTGAAGAGCACACTCTCCCAAAGCGCGGTGAATTGGGTAGTTTGAGAGACGATGGAATAGATGGAGGCGTGTAGGGAAAGCTGGGAGGTGCGGGTACGTTTCTTGGACCCGGCTTGGAGCTCCGAGTCAGACTCTGAATCAGACGATTCATAGTCTTTCATCCAGTCTGGCAAAGCGTCGACCTCGGCTTTGGCTTTACCCTTTTTCGCCTTCACCGACCGCGACTTTTTCACAGGCCTCGCCTCTCCTTCCCCCTTGGCCGGCGGCGTGGAAAAGGCAGAGACGTAAAAGGCGTTAATGTCGGACGCTTCCCGCGGAAGATTGTTGAGGGGAAGTACTTGCAAAAGCACATTCTCGGGATGCGCAATCACAGAGGTATGGCCCTGGATCAAACTAGAAGCTTCTTTGAAGAAGGCCCATCGGATATCATCGTGCGGCGCCCAAAAGTCGTCCACCACCACTTTCGCGACGTCCTCCGGCAAGACGCCGTCCGCGTCCGCAACTTGGTTGGCAGCGACGATTTTCCACCCGACGGATTTGGTTTTGGGCTTGGCGCCTCGGAGGGAGGGGCGGGGGAAGATGAGGTAGTTGAGGATGAGGCGGAAGTAGGGGATGTGGATGATGGGTTTGGAGGATATGGATGCGGAGAGAGATGGGAGGAGGGAGAATAAGAGTGGGACAGAAGACGCCTACGGTATGTCAACACTGCGCCATATCAGTAGAGAACTACTTACCCTGAGAGCAGACTCTTCATCCCTCATAAGCCCCGCCAACACTTGCACATACTCCAACAACCTCTCCCTCACCCACGCCTTGACCGCCTTCTCACCCTCCTCCCCCACCACCTGCTCCCTCTCCGCACCATTAACAAGATCCCCACTCAGCCCTCCGACCTTGCCATCCGCAATGAGCTTGATAAAAACGCGGTGCAAAGCCCATACAGCCTTGTGCACGATCTGGGGGTCGTCATGCCTGGCGAGCGCGATAAGGGGCAGGAGGGGGTTGGGGTCGAAGGTGTCGGCGGTGAGGGCTGATTCGTATTTGGAGACCTGCTTGAGGGGGTCTGTGGACAGCTTTGCCCCTTTTTGTTTTGAGGGGGCCATGGTGCGCAGATGGGTTTGTTGACAAGAACAGGCAACTTTTTTGATCAAGAGCAGCGACCTCCACCCGTGTTATTAATGATCGTAGTTAAGTGCTCGGCGCTCGCCGTCCTTCAACGTTCCTCTCCAATTCCTCTCGACAATGAGCGTCAAGGCGAGATGGCACAAGCATAGCACAATGATACCAGATTGAGCAACATAGCTGCTTGAAACCCAATTCGACCCAATGCCATATGTACATTCCATGGAAGTGTGGTGAACATGTTACAGAAACCTCGATATGGGAGCGCCTCCAACGCAAATAAATGATCAAAATACGAAAAGACTAAACCGAAAAACCATCCCCTCTATCAAACCCCATCCTATCAAGCAACTATACGCAAATTGAAACCTAACCTCCTCGTCCCCGTCCCCTAAACCCACCCCGGCCTCTCCAACCCCTCGGCGCAAAGCCCCTATACCCACCTCTCCCAAATCCTCCTCTAGCACTATCCATCCCCCCAAGCCCCTGCCCCTGCCCCAACCCCTGCCCAAATCCAGGCCCACCCCCAGCCGAACCACCAGAAACGCTCCTAGGCCCCGTGGGCGGCACTTTCGGCCCCATCGGCGGTACCCTCCCCAGCCCCAATCCCGAGCTGCCCATGCCCATAGCCATGGTCGATCTTGAGGGCGTGTTTGTAGACGCGTGTGGGGGAAGATCTCGGGTGGTCAGAGGTGGGGGGAGGCGGTCGTTGGTTGGGTTTGCGATCTGAGCTGCAGAACCGGGGGTGGAGATGGAGACGTTGGCAAAGGTGGAAGAGGAGGGAGTTTGGTGGGGGAGTGAATCTCGGTACCTCTCCCTCACAGGCGATCTCTCCCTCTCCCTCCTCGGCACATAGCTGGGCGTACTTTCAAAGTTTCTATTATAGTTCCCAAGACCGGGCAAACCAGGCGACTTTTCCCGCTCGCCCGACACCTGTCTCGGAGTATAAGACGTACTAGCCCTACCCGGCCCAGCCCCAGGGCCAGCGGGCGTGAGCGCAGGGTGGGAGGGTGCGGCAAAGTCTTGTAGAGGCACGGTTGCGTGCATCGGCGTCCGCGCCGGACCACGGGGTACATAACTCGTACTCGCCCCGAACCCTCCTGCAGGCGTACTGGGAGCTGGGGTGACTGGTGTTTGGCCCGCAGCGGCCGCCGGTGGTGGAAAGGTGGTCGGAATCGGAGCGGGCATAGCGGCGACTTGAGCGTGAGCTTGCGCTGGAGTTGCGGCTGGCGCAGGGGCTGGGAGATTGCGGAGGGAAGGAAGGTGTTCGAGCAGGTTTAGCGTCGATGCTGGGAGACTCGTCATGGGACTCGACGCCATGGGCATCGGCATTGGCACATCCACTTTGTCCCTTTGTTCATTCTTGACACTCTCCAGCGCTCTCTCATGTTCCGACTCTGCAGCGTTCGTTGGCGAGGGCACTGCCACAGCCACAGCCTCGGGCGCAGAGACCAAAGAAGAAGAAGAAGGCCCGGAAGAAGAAGGTTGCGACTCTTTCCTAAACTTGTGCGTCTTGAGATACTCGCTCAAGCTGACCTTCTTTGGCGGTTCGACCGGCGCCGGAGGTGGAGGCGTGAGGCGTGGGTTGACCTGTTTGGGTTCCGGTTCCGGTTGTTTCTCGGTCTCTGGTTGGGTGGAAGGTTGTTCGGTTGCAGGAAGAGCAGGCGGGGGCGGGGTATCGTCCCTGAAAAGCCCATCCAACGCCCTCGCACCTGACGCCGGCGTGGCCCCAGGCAAGGGCGGCGTAACACCCCCCTCCCTCTCCCGGCTGACCTTGCCCTTCCTCCTCTTCTCCACCCTCCCCCTCTCCTCCTCCTCCTCGGCTGAAGACTCTTCATCACTCGAGACGATACGCTTCTGCCTCTTCTTCCCGAGCTTCTTGGCCACTCCCACAGACGCGGAAGCGGTTGAAGCAGGTTTCGAATTTGACGCAGAGGTTGATATGGATACGACAGAGGCGAGGCGGGGTTTCGGTTTGCCAACAGACTTGGGCTTGGCCTTGATCTCGGTCTTGGGGGCGGGGGCGGGGGCGGGGTCGAATGGGAATGGGTCTTTCTTCTTGATCTTTGACTTGTCCTTTGCCGTCTCCTTCGCAGCCTGCTTGGTCACAGCTTTGCGTTTCGGCTCAGGAGCAGGAGAAGACTCGATCCTCCTCTTAACCTTGCCCCCCATACTCTTTCGTAAAGCCAGAGTCCCCCCCGATGGCGGGTCGGCATCTTCATCCCCGTCCTCCTCCTCCGACTCGTCATCATCGTCTGAGGAAGAGATCAAAGACCGGGGAAGGGTAATCGTCGTAGCATCCGACAACCCTCCTTCATCTTCTTCCTCTTCCTCGTGGTCGTGGTCGTGGTCGGAAGATTCGACGTCGGTAGGGTTTGACAGCTCGCTCTCCCCATCTTCTTCTTCTTCCTCAACACCCTTGAGCGTTGCACGCGTTGCACGGGGCGGAGCCGGCGGCGAGAGGGAATGGCGAGACGAAGCAGGCGACAAGCTCGAACTCGGCGGTATCGTCGTCGGCGGCATCGGCGGCAGCGGTAAAGGCAGGGAGGTCTTGTTTTTCGGCGAGACAGATGTCCTCTTCGTCGGCCTCGGCGGGGAAGGCGAGAGCGAGCGGGAGGGCGAGTGGGTTGACGGTTGTGATGAAGGTGAATGAAAGCCTGTAGCCTTTACATCAGTACATTGTCATTGCACCTCTCGGGAGAGGTGAGGGGGGCGTACCGAGTTGACCTTTCACCTCATTCCCTTTATCATTCTCTTGCTCCACAATCTCCTTCGTCTCCTCCATATCCCCCATTTGCACATCATCATCCACCTCCCTCTTCCTCCCCTCCATCCCCACCCCACCCAAGCCCAAACCGAAACCGAAACCCCTCACAACACCCCTCCACCGCCTCACACTCTCAACTTCAAGTTCTTTCCGCCTCCAACCTCTTACAGCGCCTATCAGGGGACCCAGGTCGGCTAGTTGCGGTGGTTCGGGTTCTTCTCTTTCTCCTTCTTGTTCTCTTTCTTGTTCTCTTTCGGGGTGGAGCTCGGGATGGTCGTGGTGGGGAGCGGAAGGCTCGGTGGGTAGGGCACGATGGTCGGAATGGTCGGAATGGTCCGACGTCCTATCCCGATCCGTACCAAGACCACGCTCTTGTTCGCCCATACCCACATCCTCCTTCTCCTTTTCTTTCACAACAGGCACAGAGACAGAGACAGCAGGCGGCTCCGGCAAGACAAGCTCACTCGTCCCCCTCACAATCTTCCAGACCTCCATCATCTGCTCTACCACACACCCCCCTCCCCCTCCGACTCGTCCGCCGACTCGGGACATACACCCACACCCCGCAAAAACCCCCCCGAGCCCCGCCAACAGCCCCTCAAACCTCCTCCCCACCTCTTCCCTCTCTCCCTCCGTCAACCTCTTGACCCCTTCCAGAAACGGCGCATCGGGGTACGCGAGCGGGTAGAGGGCTAGGGGATATCCTGGTCTGCCGTGTGGGCTTATGGTGGGGTGTAGGGAAGGGAGAGAGTGGACGAGGTGGGCATCGTCCCATTCCCACGCTAGCGTGATCTCTTGTTTCTTGCCGATATCTTCACTCGCAAAGATCCCAAACGTGACCTTCCCCTCCTCTTCCCCCTCCCCGGCCTTCTTCCCCTCCTTGCCTTTCCCCTTGCCACCAGAAGCAGCAGGTCGATAGATGATGACCCTCAAAACGGCATTAGGCCGGCAAGACGACCTCACAAACCGCATTTCCGACCCATACGCCCGGGCATCCAGCACAAGGTCCACCGGCGGCCCCACCCCCCTCACCCCCGGTTTCCCAACCCCCAACAACCCATACTGATTCACCTTATCCCGCCTGTACCTCCCCGCCTCCCCGACCTCCGCCAGATACTCGCCTATGAAACTGCCCTTCGCGATAGGCGCAGAAGAGGGCGCGGCGAAGAGGCCGTACAGGGTTGGGTGGGTGTATAGGGAGGGCATGCTTAGGTGCGGCGCGTAGGAGGGGGGGAGGAAGGATCGTTTGGTCTTGGGCAAGGGGATGGGGGTGACTTGGAGTTTGATGCCGGGGGAGGGGGTGAGGGATGAGAGGTAGACCGGGGGCAGGGGCGGGGACAGGGTTTCGAATGAGGGGGTGGGGTACCGCTCGGGGGAAGGGGAGAGCGGGATGGGCGGTTCGGTGGGGGATGGGAGGTGGGTTGCGTCTTTGCGCGGTTTGACCGTGGGTGCGGGGTCGATCATCCATTCTTCATACACCTCCCTCAACGCCCTCCTCACGGGCATGCCCCTGAGCACGCTCTCCGTGATGGGGATAAACTCCATAGACCAGGGGGAGCGTTTAAAGTAGTCGTCGTCTTCGGGTTCATCCCTCGGTCTCGAGCGGGGTCTGGCGGGGGCAGGGAGAGAGGGAGGAGGGGCGGGGGTGGACTCGGCGGGTTGGGTTTTGCGCCGGGATGAGGGTTGGCGGCCTCGTTTGGGTTTCGGGGGTGGCATGTCGTTATCTTCTTCCCTCTTCCTCCCCTTCCCCCTACTCCTCGGCTTCTCCCCCGCTCCGACCCCCCCAGCAAGCCTGGCCCCCCTCGCCTGCTCAATCATCCTCAACTGCCCCTCCCTCGCCTTCCCCCGATCCACCTCCCTAACATCACAGATCTCACACAGATACCTCTCCGGCACGTCGTCAGGGTGGGCAAAGCCGACGCAGAAACCGTGCTCCCAGGCGCCGCAGAGGTCGCATTGGATGGTGAAGCCGTCGTCTTCGGGGAAACCGCAGATGCAGCGGATGAGGGTGTTGTCGAGGCCGAGGTAGTGCAGGGGTTGGCCTTGTGGGGATGGAGGGGAGGGGGAGGGCGAGGGGCGTTTGCGTTTTTGGCCCTGGGGAGAAGGGAGGTCCATCGACACATCCCCATCCCCATCTCCACCTCCGCCCTCGTGCACTTGCTCATGCATCAGCTCGTGGGCCTGCTCCTGGGCATGGGTTTCTGGAGTAGCCAGGTGGGAGTGGGCGATGTTGAGGAGGAGGGACACGGGGTCGTCTATGGGGGCGTCCATGATGAAGGGGTGGTTCTGCGCATGTCAGTGTGGTCGTCGGTAGCACGGGGACGTACTTTCTGGGAGCGGCTTATCGAGGCATGGCACCTCTGTAGGGTATAGCGTGAGAGGGCACAGCGTGAAAAGTCGGACCCTATTTCCCGCATTAGGAATAACACGAATGCACCATTAGCGGCATCAAATATATCCCTTTTCCCGCTTTTCTCCCGCCCCTCTTCGCCATCTCATCTCCCTTCCATACCATCCATACAATCCCAACAACCATCCGCCATGTCGAAAAAGGGCGCGAGGGACCTGTCCCAGTTCAACTATGGCGCCATGTCCAGCCTCGTCGTCAACCAGGGTGCGTCCTCGATCATAGCAAGAGCCAGCGCTGACTTTTCACAGACCGGAGTGTGGTCCGCAACGACGAGCCCACCGGCGCCCCCGAATCCCTAGTCGGCCGAATCGACCCCAAAGGCATGGGTGCCCGCGCATACCGCGACGCCCCCGACATATCCAAACGCAAGAAGCCCTTCTCCGCCGCTCCTGGGGGCGGCGTTAGCGGGACGTCGGCGGACGAAGTGGAGCGCCAGATCCGGCGCCAGCAAGAGACCAAACGCGCCCAGTTCGGGGTCCAGGGTGTGCTTGATAGTGTCGCCGAGCTCGAGGGGCTGCGGTACCGCCCGAGGACGGCGGAGACGCGGGAGGTGTATGAGCTTTTGCTCGGGCTGGTGCATTCGATCTTGGGCGATCAGGCGCAAGAGATCATCCGCTCGGCTACGGATACCATCCTCGAATCCCTCAAATCCGACGACTTGAAAGAGTTTGACAAGCGTAAAGATGTCGAGTCTGTACTCGGCAAGCTCGACGAGCCGATCTGGGCGCAGCTCGTATCGCTTTCGAAAAAGATTACAGACTATGTCGAGGAAGACGAGCAGGAGCGGGATGAAAGGCAGCAAGCGGTCGACCAGGAAGGCGTCGCGGTCTTGTTTGAAGATGAAGATGAGGACGAGGAACAAGATTTCGAAGCTGGCGGCGGGGACCAAGACGACGAGTCTGAAGAAGACGACGAGGAAGAAGAGTCTGACGCCGAGCCGATCGAGGCTGCTGGCGACGATACCCTCACCGTCGGTACCCGCCCCACCAAAAAGACCAAACCTTCCGACACCCTCCACCCCCGCCAGATCGACGCCCACTGGCTCCAACGCCTCATCTCCACCTCCTACCCCGACCCCGTCCAATCCACCGACCTGTCCTCTTCCGCCTTTGACCTCCTGTCCTCCGAGCTCGAACTCCGAGACCTCGAGAACGGTCTCGCCGAGCTGTTTGGGTACGAGAATTTCGACCTCGTCGAAAAGTTGACAAAGAATAGGGATGTGGTGGTGTGGTGTATCCGGCTGGCAAAGGCGACGGATGAGGAAAAGATGGATGTGGAGGTGGCTATGCGCGAAAAGGGTCTTGGCCGGATTCTGCGCGAGCTGAAAGGCGACAAGACGCCCACTACCACCACCGCCAACGTACCAGAGAAGGTCATCCCCGCGCACGCGACCCTCAAACCAGGCTCCATCGCCACCCCCCGCGCCACCACCACCATCGACATCGACTCCCTCGTCTTTTCCTCCGGCGCCCACCTCAACACCGCCAAAAACATCAAACTCCCCGAAGGCTCGTTCAAACGCCAGTTCCCGGGCTACGAAGAGATCCACGTGCCCGAGCCCAAGCGCCGAGAGCCGGTCCAGGGCGAGTTGGTGGATGTGAGGAGTATGCCAGAGTGGACGTGGCCTGCGTGGGGGAGGACGGAGAGGTTGAATGTGATTCAGAGCAAGGTGTATCCGGTGGCGTGGGCGAGTAGTGAGCCGATGTTGATTTGTGCGCCTACCGGTGCAGGAAAGGTGCCTCCTCCCCTTCTTTTTTCCTTGGGTGTGGCTAACCAAATGCTGTAGACCAATTGCGCCGCCCTGACCATCCTCCGAACCATCTCCCAACACCTCCTCCCCTCCGGCAAACCCGACCTCGACGCCTTCAAAATCATCTACGTCTCCCCCATGAAAGCCCTCGTCCAAGAACAAGTCGACGCCTTCTCCAAACGCTTCTCCCCGCTCGGTATCACCGTCGGCGAGTTGACGGGTGATTCGCAGATGACGAAAGAGCAGATCGGGCGGACGCAGATTATCGTGACGACCCCGGAAAAGTGGGATGTGATTACGAGAAAGAGCACGGATACGTCGTATACGAATCTGGTGAGGTTGATCATTGTGGATGAGATCCATCTCTTGCACGACGATAGAGGACCCGTGTTGGAGGCGATCCTCTCGCGCACGATCCGCAAGATGGACCAGACGCACGACCCCGTGCGCGTCGTCGGCCTCTCGGCCACCCTCCCGAATTACGTCGACGTCGCCGCCTTCCTCCGCGTCGACCCCGAGGTGGGCTTGTTCTACTTTGACGCCTCCTACCGACCTGTCGGGCTCAAACAGCAATTCGTCGGCGTCACTGAGAAAAAAGCCATCAAGCGGCTCCAGACGGTGAACGAAGTGTGCTACGAAAAGGTGCTCAACTATGCTGGCAAGTCGCAAACGTTGGTGTTTGTGCATTCTAGAAAAGAAACAGCGAAAACCGCGCAGTTCCTCGTGGAACAAGCGCAGGAGAAGGAGACGCTCGCGCAGTTTATCAACCCCTCTGGCGCCTCGCGCGAGATCCTGATCCAAGAGTCTGCGCAGTGCAAAGACCTGAAACTCAAGGAAGTCTTGCCGTTCGGGTTTGGGATCCACCATGCCGGTATGTCGAGGGAAGACAGGACGACAGTGGAACAGCTCTTCTTTGAAGGGCACATCCAGGTCCTCGTGTGTACCGCCACCCTCGCGTGGGGCGTCAACCTCCCAGCGCATACCGTCATCATCAAAGGCACCCAAGTGTACAACCCGGAAAAGGGCAAATGGGCCGAACTCTCCCCGCAAGATGTCTTGCAGATGCTCGGCCGTGCCGGGAGGCCCCAGTTTGATACGTACGGTGAAGGTATCATCATCACGAACCATTCAGAGCTGCAGTATTATACGGGGTTGATGAACCAGCAGCTGCCGATTGAGAGTCAGTTTGTGGGGAGGATGGTGGATAATCTGAATGCCGAGATTGTGCTGGGGAATGTGAGGAATAGGGATGAGGGGGTGCAGTGGTTGGGGTATACTTATCTGTACGTTCTTTCGTTTTGAAAAGTTCGTTTTGAAGAAGGGGGGTGCTGATGGGGAGTAGGTATGTGAGGATGTTAAAATCGCCCAAGCTGTACCTCGTCGGAGGAGATTACATGGAAGGCGATCCCACGCTTATCCAAAAGCGAGGTACGTCCCCCCCCCCATCTTTATCACGCCTAGCTAACCCCGCTCTAGCCGACTTGATCCACTCTGCCGGTGTCCTCCTCGAAAAAGGCGGCCTCGTCCGCTACGACCGCGCCACCGGCACTTTCCAGTCCACCGACCTCGGCCGCATCGCCTCCCACTACTACATCACCTACTCCTCCATGGCCGTCTACAACAAACACCTCAAACCGAACCTCACCATGATCGACCTCTTCCGCGTCTTTGCCTTGTCCAACGAGTTTAAACTCATCCCTGTGCGACAGGAGGAAAAGCTCGAGTTGGCAAAGCTGCTGGAGAGGGTGCCGATCCCGATCAAGGAGGGGGTGGAGGAGCCGGTGGCAAAGGTCAATATGCTGTTGCAGGCGTACATCTCGCAGCTCAAGTTGACGGGGTTCGATATCGTGACGGATATGGTCTTCATCCAGCAGTCGGCGGGGCGTATCCTCCGTGCAATGTTTGAGATTTGTCTCAAAAAGGGCTGGGCCGCCCCGACGCGTGCTGCGCTCGACCTGTGCAAGATGGTCGAGAGGCGGATGTGGAAGAGCATGACGCCGCTCAGGCAGTTCCCTCGCGTATCGCGCGAAGTCGTGCAGAGGGCCGAGAGAAAGGAATTTCCGTGGCATCGATACTTTGATTTGAACGAGGCCGAGCTGGGTGAGCTCGTCGGTTTGCCGAAATCCGCGCGGTACCTCCGATCCCTCGTCGACAAGTTTCCCCGACTCGACATCCAAGCCCACGTCCTCCCCCTCACCCGCTCCCTTCTCAAGATCAACGTCACCGTGACGCCCGATTTCCAGTGGGACCGCGATATCCACGGTGCTTCCCAGCTCTTCTGGATCCTCGTCGAAGACGTCGATGGCGAGCAGCTGCTCTATCACGATTCGTTCGTCTTGAGGGAGAGGTTTGCGCAGGATGAGCATTATGTGACGATCACCGTCCCGATCTCGGAGCCGGTGCCGCCAAACTATTATCTGTCGGTCGTGTCGGATAGATGGTTGCAGAGCGAGACCAAGCTGCCGGTTTCTTTCGCCCACCTTGTACGCCCTGCGCCTTTCCCTCCTCACACCCCTCTCCTCGACCTCCAGCCCCTGCCCATCACGGCTCTGCACAACAAGGCATACGAAGCTCTCTACCCCTTTACCGAGTTCAACAAGATCCAGACGCAAGTCTTCCAAGCTCTGTACGCTGGGGACGAGAATGTCTTTATTGGCGCGCCTACCGGGAGCGGTAAAACCATCGCTGCCGAATTTGCCTTGCTGAGACTCTGGGCCAAGAAGGGCGATACGCCCAGGGCGGTGTGCATTGAGCCGTACCAGGAGATGGTGGACATGCGCGTCGAAGAGTGGCGTGCCAAGTTTAGCACCCTGGAAAAGGTCGTCGTCGGGTTGACGGGAGAGGCTACTGCCGATCTGGCGATGTTGAGCAAGGCCGACTTGGTCGTTGCCACCCCCGCCCAGTGGGATATGATGTCGAGGCGATGGAAGAGCCGAAAGGACGTCAAGAGCGTTGGGCTGCTGATTGCCGACGAGCTTCAACTCATCGGTGGTGATGTTGGCTCGACGTACGAGGTCATCGTCTCGCGTACTCGATACGCCGCCCAGCAACTCGAGACCCCCATCAGGATCGTTGCCTGCAGTGTGTCGTTGAGCAACGCCAAAGACTTGG